CGCAGCGGAGCAGCGCCATGGCTGCAGCGCTGGGTCTGGGGCTGCTCTTGGGGCTCCTGGGGGACCCGGGGGGCGCGACCAAAGGTGAGTGGGAACCCCGAAACCGGGAACCCCCTGAACTTCCATTTCCGGGCACCGGGACCCTCCTTAACTTCTATTACTGGGGTTACCGGGCCCGGGAACCCCCTCCGTAACCCCATTTTGGGTCCTGTGACCTCTCTCAATCCCCAGCACCGGGACCCCCCTGTACCCCCTCATCTGGCACCGGGATCCCCCTGAACTCCCATTCCTGGGCAGGGAAACCCCCCTGAACCGCCATACCCGGGCATCAGAATCCACTGAGCCCCCATTCCTGAGCACGGGGAACCTCTTGAGCGCCCAGTTTTCGGCACCGGGACCCACTTGAGCCCCGAATTCCGGGAAGAGAATCCCCTGAACCCTCATTTCTGGGCAGTGAAAACCCCCGTTCCTGGGCACGGGGACCCCCATGAACGTTGATTTCCTGGCAGCGGGACCCCCCTGCACCCCCTTATCTGGCACTTGGACCCACCGTATCTCCTATTCTTGGTGTTCAGGATCTCTTTGAACCCCGCATCGCGGCACGGGAACCCCCCTGAACCCCCTTTGTTCGGGACTGGGACATCCCGCAACCCCGTCAGTGCTCCGGGACCCCCCTGCCCCCCTTTTCGGGCATCCTGGTTTTCCCGGACCCCAGACCCGCCCTTTTCGTAGAACTTTGGATCCCCCAGATCTCCCAACTTTCTCTGTCCCCCCAGTTTTCCACTCCCGCCGCTTCCCGAAACGGGGTCCCAGAGCGTTCTGGGGGTTCCAGGAAGGGTCACACTCGGGTCCAGATGGATCCAGATGAACTCCCTGGAATTCCCCCTTTCCCTCCGTCCCCTTAACCCGCGTTCCCTCGGTCTCTTTCTCTTTCCCGTCTCCCAAGCTGCATCCCCGGGATCCGCCCGCCTCTCCCAGCCCCAGACCCCCCTTCCCGTGACCCAGGGACCCCCTGGAGCCCCATTCCTGCCTTTCCCAGCTCCCAGACCCACTGCCCTCAACACCGGGGGCTCCTGGACCTGCCCTGTATCCCCTTCCCCAGCCGCCATAAACCCTGTATCCCCTTATCTGAAGCATGTAACACCCTGAACTCACATTCCTGGGCTCGGAAACCGCCCTGAACCCAAATTTCTGGGCACTGGGACCCCCCTGAACCTCAATTTTTAGGCATCAGGACCCCTTGAACCTGAGAACCCGGGAAGGGAACCCCCTGAAACCCATTTCCTAGGCACTGAGACCCCAGTGCATCCTGTTACCTGGCACCAGCACCCCTCGAGCGCCCCATTCCTGTGAACAGAGACCTCCTGCACCCATTCCACAGCGCCACAGCTCAACCAGGCCATTATCTGGCACCGGGATGCCTCTGAACCCCGATTCGCAGGAAGGGACTCCCCCTGAACCCCCATTTCCTGGTCACCGGCACTCCGGGAACCGCAATTTTCGGACACCCTAAACCTCCATTCCCAGGCAGGGGCACCCCACATAACCCCTTTCTGGGTTCTGTGACCCCCCTCAATCCCCTTCCCCAGCATCGAGACCCCCCTGTACCCCCTTATCTGGCACCGGGTCCACCCTGACCCCCCATTCCTGAGCATGTGGACCCCCTTGAGCGCCCATTTCCAGCCACCCCGACCCTCCTGTGCCCCCTTTGCCAGCACCGGGACCCCCCAAACCCCATTCCTGGCCACCAGCGCCCTCGGAACTGCTATTCCCAGCCACCGGAACCCCCTCGAACGTCAAATTCCGGGAAGGAAACTTCCCCTGAACCCGCATTCCCCAGCACAGGAACCCCCTGAATCCCCATTTTTGGGCACTGGGACCCCCTGCCCTCCCTAATCCAGGACTGGGATTCCCCCGCACCCCTGTCAGTGCTCTGGGACCCCCTGCACCCCCATTCCCAGCGATCCCACCCTTCCCAGACCCCAGACCCGCCCTTTTCCTCGTCTTTTGCACCCCCAGATCTCCCAAATTCCTGGGTCCCCCCAGTTCTCCACTCCTGGCACTTCCTGGAAGGGGTTCCAGGGGTCCGAGAGGGTCCCCCGGGGTCCCAGGGGCTCCTCCAGCCCCAGACCCCTCTTTCCTCTGCTTCAAGGACCCCTGAGCCTCCCATTCCCAGGTCTCCCCACCTTGTGATCCCTTTCCTCAGCACTGGGGACCCCTGGACCCCTTTCCTGGGCACAGGGATCCCCTGGAACCCCCATCCCACTTCTCCAGTCCCTGCCTCCCCCCCTCCCATTCCATAACCCTGGAACCCCCCGAGCCCCCATTCCTGGACACCAGGACCCCCTGCAAGCCCTTTCCTGTCCATCCCACCTCTCCCACCCTGCACACCCTTTCCTTGGCCCCAGGATCCCCAAACCCCTTCCCAGCTCTCCCAGTTCTCCTTTCATTGTTCCATGATCCCCTCAACCCCTCCAAATCTCTGTGTCCCCCCAGTTCTCCACTCCCTGCATTACCTGGATGTGGCAGTGTCAGAGCCCAGCCCGGGGATCCCCCAGTACATGTCCATGGGGTACCTGGATGGGATCCCCTTCACACGCTATGACAGCGAGCGGGGCCGGGAGGAGCCACTGTCAGAGTGGGTAAAGGATTCAGCTGATCCAGAATATTGGGAGAGGAACACCCAGCTCAATGTGAGGAACCAGTACATCGATGCCAGGAACCTGGAGACGCTGCGGGAGCGGTACAACCAGAGCGGGGGTGAGTGGGGGGAGCTGTGGGGCTGGGATGGGAACCGTGGGGTTGAAATGGAAACTCTAGGGCTGGGCTGGGATGGGATCTGTAGGGCTGGAATGGGGATCCATGGGGCTGAAATGGGATCCATAGGTCTCAGATGTGGACTCACAGGGCTCCAAGGGGCTGAAAATGGGGATCCATTAGGCTGGGATGGGATATTTTGTGATCCACGGGTTGGGATATTGATCCATGGGGCTGGGATGAGATCCGTGGGGCTGGGTTGGGATCTATGGGGTTGGGATGGAATCTGTGGGGCTGGAATGGGATCTGTGGGGCTGGGATGAGATCCGTGGGGCTGGGTTGGGGTCTGTGGGGTTGGGATGGAATCTGTGGGGTTGGAAAGGGATCTGTGGGGCTGGGATTGGATCCATGGGGCTGGGATGTGAAATCATAGGGCTGTGATGGGATCTGTGAGGCTGGGTTGGGATCCATAGGGTTGGGATGGGGATCCATGGGGCTGGAATCAGATCTGTAGGGCTGGGGTGAGGGTCCATGGGGCTAGGATGGGATCTGTAAGACTCAGGTGTGGACTCACGGGGTTCCAAGGAGGTGAAATGAGAATTCATTAGGCTGGGATGGAATATCTTGTGATCCATGGGTTGGGACATGAATCCGTGAGGCTGGGATGGGATTTGTGGGGCTGGGTTTAGATCCATGGGGTTGGGATACAAATCCATGGGGCTGGGATGGGATTTGTGGGGCTGGAATAGGAACTGTAGGGCTAGGATGTGATCTATAGGTCTTCAATATAGACTCACAGGACTCCAAGGGGCTTAAATGAGGATCCATTAGGCTGGGATCAGATATCTTTTGATCCATGGGGCTGGATTGGGATCCATGGGATGGGGATGTGGATCCATGGGGCTCCAAGGGGTTGGGATGAGGCTCTGTGGGTCTCCCTCACACTCTGGGCCTCCATAGGGTTGGAATAGAGCTCTGTGGGTCTGGGACACAATTCCATGGGTGTCTGTGGGTACAATCCCCCCAGGTCTCCACACATTGTTGCGAGTTTATGGCTGTGAGCTCCTGTCTGATGGGAGCATCGGTGGATCCCAGCGGCACAGCTACGACGGGCGGGATTTCATCTCCTTTGACCTGGAATCTGGGAGATTCATGGCAGCTGACAGCGCTGCTGAGATCACCAGGAGGCGCTGGGAACAGGAAGGGGTGGCTGAGGCGAGGACGAATTACCTGAAGCACGAATGCCTTGAATGGCTCCAGAGGCACGTCAGATACGGGCAGAAGGAGCTGGAGCGCAAAGGTGGGAGCAGAATTCCTGTGGGGATTTGGGATTTGGGGATGGAGGACTTGGGAACACAGTAATTCCTGTGGGAATTCTATGGATAGAT